CCAATCTTCCAAATTAATACTATATCCAAAGTTTTTGGCCCAGGTTATCATTGTTTCCTTCACAGTTTCTTCTTCTAATTTATATCTTAACAAATACTTGTACATTTGGTAATCATTTTTCTCTCTGGCCCCTGTAAAATTTTATCCAATTCTTGTTAGTCGAAATATATCCCATACTGTTTTATGTCTTTCTTATATCTAGTTTGTATCTGTAAGTATGGCCACCAATCTACTTGTATTCCTTGTGACACAAGCTCCTGTTTAGATTTTAATTTGCCTTGTTCATCTAATAGCTCTTTATAGCTCACTGTCTTATTCAGATCTAAAACATTTGGGTATACCATAGCTTCCATGGTTGACATCCAGATTTAGATCTTTGTATAATGGTTTCATTTTAGTTTTTCCCAAACCCCTAGTGATGTATCTCTAATTTGATGTCTTTGAAAGCACGAATGAGATTTATTTTTCCCTTCCCACATGAACGTGCGCCAGCTAATCTGCAGGCCGTGTCCTTCTAATAGTAACACTCTTTTATTCTTTAGATTTACCCAATCTTTAAGCCATGTTGTTATTGCAGCCTGATAATAGAGTTATCTGGAAGTCCGAACCCACCCTTGTCTTTACTATCCTGCAGGAGCTTTAGTTTTATCCAGGCCTTTTTCCCTTGCCAAATAAATTTTTTAATTGTTTTATTTAATTCTTCAAAGGAGGTTTTGCCTAATTTTAGTGGAATTGTTTGAAAAAGGAATAACACCTTAGGTAGTATATTCATCTTAAATAGTAGCAATTCTCCCTATCAATGATATCTGAAGTTTCCCCCAATTTTCCAAATCGTTTTGTATTTGTGTTAGTAATTTCTCATAATTATCTATTTTTATCGATGTACATTTAGCTGTCAACCACACCCCAAGATATTTCAATTTTTTTGTTGTTTGAATCCCCAATTTCTTCTCCAATTCCTCCTTCAGTTTCACCATCATATTCTTTGTTAATATCTTTGTTTTTTCTTTATTTATTTTTAGTCCCGCCACTCTGCCAAATTCTTCAATTTTCTGTAACAATATCTGTCCTGTTTCCAGAGGGTTTTCTATGATGAATGCCATGTCATCGGCAAATACTTGCGTTTTATATTCTTCTGTTCTAATTCTCAGACCTTTTATTTCTTGGTCATTTCTAATCTGTATTAATAGTACAATAGTAGATTAATAGTAGTGTTAATAGTATGATAAATAGCAGTGGCGATAGCGGGCACCACTGTCTTACTCCTTTTGATATATTAAATTTCTCCGTTAGTTTGCTGTTCAAAATTATCTTCGCTGTTTGGTGGTATATATGGATTTGATGATATCTAAAAAAAATTCTCCAAAGTTCATTAGATGTAATTGATTAATTTAAAAAATCAGTTCAAATTATTGCAGGCTTTTTGTGCATCCATAAACATTAACGCCAATTGCTTAACTGGGTGTGCCTCATAATATTCTAATACATTCATTATCAGTCTGGTGTTATTTCTTAAATGTCTCTGTGGTACTAATCCATTTTGGTCAGGGTGGATATATTCATGCAAAATTTTCTTAACCCTCTCTGCAATTATTGTAACGAATATTTTGTAATCCACATTAAGTAAAATGAAATCGGTCTGTAGTTTTGTATCTGCTGTCATTGGTATTATCTTTTAAAATGAGGGTAATATAGGCTTCTGTCCATGAATTTGGGAGTTTTGCTTGTTCTAATGTTTCATTGTACAGATCCAACATTAGCTGTTCCAATGGTGTTTGAATTTCCTTATATAATTCTGCAGGGATCCCATCTGGTCCCGGTGATTTATTACATTTTTGTTTACTAATTGCCTCTTTCATTTCAGTCATTGTGATTTCAGCATTTAACATTTCCTTTGTGAGATCTGGGATTGTAGGTAATTTTTTCTCGTTCAAGTATTGTTTGATCTTCTCTTCTGGTATCTCATCCTGAGTTTACAGTACTGCAAAATATTTCTGGGCAATAGATTGTTTTTCTTCTGCCCGATGGTGTGGAATTTCATTTTCATCCTGTAGGGTTTGTATTGTTTTTCTCTCCTTGTCTTTTTTCAGTTTATGATCCAACCATCTCACCAGTTTATTAGCATACTCAAAGTAATTTTGCTTTACCATCCTGAGGTTTTGTGACATTTCATCTTGTAAGGTTAAATTTATTTTATGTTTGGTCACCTCTCTCTCTTTTAATTTCTTCATTCTGTGGTTCTTTTTGCATTCTGTGTTCCAATTCCTCAAGTTTCTCTTCTAATTCTATCTGTTGTTTTTTCTTTTCTTTGTTCTTTTTTGCTCCATATGCAATTGTTAGACCTCAAATGTATGCTTTGGTTGTGTCCCATAGATTTTTTTTTTTTTGAAACAAATTTTATTAATTTTAAAGACAAACAAACCATCATTATCCATTAAGTACACAAACCTCTCCATTGTTAATTTTACAAGTCAGATAAAATACTATTTTATACAACATAATTCTATTTTTCACCATTTCAATATAACCATATAGATATCTCTCAACAAATTTCTCATTATTTCTCTTCTCTTATTCAATTTCATTAATTATTATTAATTTTCTATATTTATAACCATCATCTTCATTCCTCTCTGTCTTGTTACATTATTCTCATCCAACATTCCTCCGAGGTTTTATTAATTCTCAAAGAAAACATAGACACACAAAACACAAAAATATAAAACTTCTTTTAAGAAAGTAGTTTGGCCCCAGATTACCTCTCTTTGTATGGACTTCAATTAAATTCGTGCTCATCTTATATGCCATTACCTATCTTATTTACCATTCTATAACTTCCATATAACTTCTCCCCACTTTTCACTCTTCTTATTTCTATTTTATTTAATTCATTTTAATTTAATTCATTATATTTATATTTTTTGTCCATTCTTTCCAAATTATCCATTTATCTCATTCCCTACAGCAAGTAAAGAAAAAAATTTTTTCCCTGAAATCCCTGATCAAGGTATGATGCCTTTCTATCCTCCCCCTAAATTAATATTTAAAATAACACCTAATACCCAATCTGATTCTGCTTAGTACATTCAACCTACTAGTCTCTAAAGAAAAAAAAATAGTAAGTCCACAATAATTAATATAATTAAATAATAAATCTAAATTTTAAATCTTATAGCCTTCCAATTGTCTATTTCAAGAAACAAATGCTACAGTAATGAGTTTATAATAAGATCAAAACAACAGTAAATTAGTCTTTTCAATTAAACTCAATATTTTAAACATTCCTTTTAATCTTTTATTGAATTTTAAAATCTATCATTACTAAACATTTCAAATTCTTATAACATTCTAATTTTCTATTTCTAATACAAACACTACCACACCATCTTATGTACCTTGCAGAATCTTCTTTTTTAAAGAAATTATACATTACCCTTTATCCCTAAAAAAATTTCCTTTTTTCCCATCTTGTTTTATACCTTTGTGGCTTTTCCCTCCCTTTCTTATCCCACCTAACCTTTTTACCTCCAGCTTCCCCTCTCTGTTGTATTCTTCTCCTTTTGCTCAGTAACATTAACATTGAATTGGTTTTGCATCTTATTTTTTCCTTTCTTAAGTATTTTTTTAGATCTTAAGTCCTTCATTTTCCTTCCTTTCTTTCTCCTTTCTCTCTTAACTAAATTTTTAAATTCATTGAAGATGGTGTCTTCTTCTTCTCCTTCTTCCATCTGTTGTTGTGTTTGATAATTAACAAGCACCATTTCTAGAAAGAGAAAGGCTTTTTTCACAGCGTCCTTTCTTTCTTCATATTCTCTAAGTTCATCAGCAGATAAAGCCATTCTTTATTCTTCTTCTTAAAGCATCCAAAGTGTTTCAAAAGTTAGAGCAATTCCCCAAAATTCCAGAGAGAGTCAATCAGTCCAAACAAAACACAAATTTCTCACTTTCTCTTCCTGGTAAGGTATCAAAGGGAAAGGAAAAAACCTCCAATCTGTATTTTAAAACCTTGTTACAATTAATTTCTGGTCTCAAGATCTTCAAGGCATCTCCTCCAACAAAATCTTAATATATATATTTTGTCCTCTTCCTTCCCACTTATAACAAGAAGCCAAGTCTTTACCTTTTATAAAAAACAACAACCGGTTTCTCAATGGCCATTTGTTGATTCCATAAGGAAGGAGAGTAAACTTTCCTTTCAGCACTCAGTTTTGCCGCTTGAGATCCTCCTCTGGAAACAAAGTATTTTTCAAAAAACCATCGTTCTCAGGATTAAACGCCTCTTAAAGTCCTGGGTCAGCCACAAAAACTTTCTCTTTACCACTTTCTCCTCTCTTCCTCCTGCTCAGTCTTACCCAGCTGCCGGCTTCTTTGAGGCGGCCATTACAGACCGCCGCTCGACCGTCTTGGGAAAGGGGGGTTTTGCCAGCTGGGAAGGGGGTCTGCAACACCCCCAAACCCCTCACCAGCTCCTCCTTATCTTCGGCTGCTTCTTCGTAGCAACCTTAGCCTCCAGATCTATGGATCGGAGGCACCAAAACGGCTAGCGCGGCAGGGATCGTGCAGGATCGCAAATCCCTGCCGCTTGCGAAGCCGACAAACCGGAAGTTTTCGTCCCATAGATTTTTCAATGTTGTTTGGTCAGTTACATTGTCTTTAAAGAATAGTTTTAATTCTTTTTCTAACATTTGTAGGTAGCTTTTGTCCCTAAGGAGTTTCTGATTTAAAGTCCATCTTCCTCTCTTTCTTCTCCCTTTCCATTTCACTGTCAGTGGGTTGTGGTCTGCCCATATGTTTGGTAGTATCTCTATTTTCTCTAGATCTTTTGCTACTTCTGTATCCAGCCACACCATGTCAGTCCTAGACCAAGAACTATGTGGGTTTGAAAAAAAGGTATATTGTCTTTGTTAAGTTCTCTCCACATATCTTTAAGATTTAATTCTTGTGTCAATTTATGAAATGTATTTGGCAGTGTTTTCCTCTCCTTCCTATTTTTTTCTTCATTGTATAATCTTTTCGTATATCTACTGCTTGCATTAAAGTCCCCTATAATGCATATATTTTCCTGTTTTAATTCTACTATTTTTCAATGCAATTTACTGTGGTATTCTTTTTGGTTAATGTTCGGGGCATATATTACTATTAACAATACTTTCTTTTGATTTATTTGTACTTCTACCATTAGGGTTCTTCCTTCCTCATCTGCAAATATTTGAATCAGGTTTAACCATTGCTTTATATACATCGCTATCCCACTTTTCTTTTTCTGTGCCAATGCAAGGTGCAATTTTCCCAATTTAGGTGATTCTAAAATGTTGCCATACTTCTTCTCAATGTGAACTTCTTGCAGACAAGTAATATCAGCATTCTGTTTCCGGAGCTTAGTCAATACTTGTTTTCTTTTTATCGGAGCATTTAGTCCATTTATGATAGTGATAGAAGTGTGACTTCTTCTAGCATGTTATTGTTTATACTGAGTTCTCTTTCCTCTCCTTGTTCTTATCTCTCTTTGTGACCATGTCTTTATCCTCTCTATTTCTTGATATTCGATTTCCTGTCGTTCTCTTACTTCTTGGTCCGATCCTTTTTCTTCCACTGATAGTTCCTCCTGACTTCTGCTCTTCTCTACTATCCTGTTCTTCATCTGGTGCCATGTAGTGTTCAAGAAATTCTTGTGTTTTGTCCAGTGAATCTGTACAGATTTTCTTCTCCTGCCAGGAGATCAGCATGCCTTCGGGGATAAGTCATCTAAACATTATTTTGTTTTTAATTAACTGCGATGATAAAAAGTTGTGGTTCCGTCTTTGTTCTCTTACCCTCCTAGGGACTTGTTTTAGCATCACAATTTCTTTCTTTATACATTAATGGTTCTTCTCTTGTTCTCCCGTAGATTTCGTCTCTGATGGTCTTTCTTGCGAATCTTACGTGTACCTCTCTCAGCAGCTTATGCCTCCGAATCTTACGTGTACCTCTCTCAGCAGCTTATGCCTCCGCACGTAGTTGGTATAAATTCAGTACACCTCGTCTATATCATTGCTCATTTCTTGCACATTCCTCTGTAGTGCATTGTCTAACAGCTCTGCCATAAGATTTGGAAGGTTCTTTTCTTTATGTTCATCTATATTTTGAAATCATAGGCAGAATGATGATCTCTCCTTTCTCTGTGGACCCTGATGACACTCCAGACCACCTGCAGCTGGAGCTCATTGAGCTGCAGTGTGACGCCAAGCGTTGCAGTCGACACCAACAGCTCCCTCTTGTCAACTTTTACCGCCAGCTGAATAAAGACAGGTTCCAAGATTTTCGAACATTTGCTAAGAAAATGCTGAGCTTGTTTGGTTCGACATACTTGTGCAAGAAGACATTCTCGGTTATGAACATTAACAAGAACCGTGTGAGGACAAGACTAAGTGACTTTCACCTGCGTGACATCTTGTGCATCAAAACCACTGTTTTTGAGCCAAACCTGGCCTATATAATGCAGTCGAGATCTCAGTATCACCCTTCACAATACCGTAGTTGTTTGTTTAATCTTTCATAAGCTTTCATTTGCATTTAATGTTAATGGTTCAAAGAATGTCAGGCTAAATGGCCGGCCCCCACACATTTTCACCGCACCAAATCTGGCCCTCCTTGCAGAAAGTTTGGACACCCTGGTCTAGACCCTTCTTTAAAATGTATTTTGTTCCTAATAAGGCATATGGCAAGATCTCTTGTGATATTTGCAGAAGATAAATATGGGCTAGAATGGTACTACAGGTAGTCCTTGACTTACAATAATTCATTCAGTAACTGTTCAAAGTTACAATGGCACTGAAAAAAGTGATGACCATTTTTCACACATACAACTGTTGTAGGATCCCCATGGCTTTCCAATAGTTTACAAATTGAATGTAAAATTGACATTTCTTGTAAAAACACTTGTCAGCTTGGAAGCCATTTTTTCTTTGAGACTTCTGGGCTGCCACATTCAGTGCTTGGGAATTTGGGAGGGAGGATTTCAAGGAGCGGTGGAAGATTAGCCACATCATCAGGTCATGTTACCCTGCACCTGAAGGTGAATGACTGAGGGTTATCTCCAGTTGGAACAAAGTAATGATTGGACCATGTGATAAACTATTGGGTGCAGGGGTTGGATTTTGGATTCTCTTTGGGCTAAGGAAAACCTGGAAATCTGAGATTTGGGTTTTGTGATGACCCGTAGTCTCTCAAAATAACCCCAAACCCAAAACATACATTAAAGTCTGATAATGCCTTCAACTTAACTTCACTGTTTTATTAGGCACAGTTTAAAGTCACAAAACTAAATAATGAGGCAAAAAGAAAACCAAAAACAAACCGCATTGACGAGAGTTCCGAAGCAAGCCAAGATAATTAATCATACATTCCAGGAAGATAACCGAGGAGAGTTCATGGGAAGAACGCCAGCAAAGATAAACCTCTTTCAAAGAAAAAACTAAACTTTGACTCCAGCAATTCTGACTATGCAGTTACAAACTTATATACATAGCTCCCAGCTGCAAGCCACGAGGAAGATCATGGTAATCTCCTCCTGAGTAGACCTCGCTTTTCCCTGATCCTCTCCTCCCTACATGACCTAGGATGGATAGGGGATGGGTCTGGATCCTCCTCTGATTGCTCAGCCAGCCTCTGCCCTTCCCTAGCCTCCTCCACCACCTCTGGAGCCACACTCCCACTCCCTGTTGACTGTTCCTCCTCTTCCTCAGAGTCAGTCTCCACCAGGGGCATGACAGGTTTTCCTCAGATATACCAATATGACATCTCTAACAAAGTGGATCTTTTGGAAAATAATATTCTTTGGAGGTTGTTACTTGGAATGCTGATGTCAACCCGAATCTCTAAAACTTCAACCAGCTCCCTGGAACCCAGGGGCTGTCCGGGATTCTGAGCCCCAAACGCCGACCTGCCTACTGGGGCCGGGAAGACTTAGGGAAGATGGAGGAGAACGCGACAGTCGAAGAGGGAGCCGTGGGGACTGACACAAAGTCTTTCGTCAAGACCCTCTACTCTCCCTCTGAAGACATGGCACGAGCAATTGAAGCTGCCGAAGTGAAATGGCAGCAAGGCACTCAGCCCAAGGAGCCAGAGTCCTAGCAGCTCAGTCAGGCTGACCCAACTCCGGAGTGGAACTGAGATTAGGCCACCTGAGTACCGACCAGGGACCAGTCCAATGAAGAAAACTCAAGGTCCTGAGTGGAGAGAGCCAAGACCTTTGGAGACTAACAACTCCCGGGATTGGTGCCTGTTACCTCCCTCACAGAGCCAGTAGCTGACAAGTCTCCTGGAACAGTTTGAACATCTCGAGGTGAGCAACTATGCCCTGCAAGCCCAGGTTGGTCAGCCGAGGTGGATTCTGACTCAACCTACATTCACCCTCCTGGACCCAGGGTCAGCAAGTGGCTATAATGCACCAATGGTATCTTTCTATTCAGCCAGAGATGACAGAAGAACATGCCTTTTACAGCCGGCCCAACCTGCCAGAAATGGGCAGCAGCTGCAGCCAGGGCTCAGAAGTCTGCAATGGCCAGCCAGCCACCCCTCGCCAACTGGCTCTAATGCTACTGCCAGCAGAATGTATTCCGCCTGGCTGGGCTGGCGGAATAGGCTGGGTTGGCCAGCATTAGGTTCAGTACCAGTGGATGCCAGCACCAACCGTACCACCAGCTCTAGCCCTGCAGCCAGCTCCGGCTCCACAGCCAGTTCCAGTGCAACAGCCAGTCCCTGACCCACCACCAGCTGTTCCGGCTGCACCTCTGCAGTGCAGCCATCCCCTCCAGCTGTGGTACCACCACCAAGATTTAGAGCCATCTTTGATGGAACCCCAGGGAAGTTGGCATACTTCCTCAACCAAATTTGGGCATACATCGACAAGCATGGGGACCAGTACCAATCTGACCATGACTTGATCTCAGCTATTGGTGACGGGATGAACGAGGGCAAAGCGGCTGAATGGATAGCCCAACTACATGATGAAGGAGCTACTGAGCTACACAATGCCAATGAATTGGTCCAGCTGCTCCGGCTAGATTTGAAGATACAGACCACAGGAATGAGAATGAAGTCCTGATTAAAACTATGAAACAGGGGAATTGCTTCCCTAAGGAGTTTGTCTGGGAGTTCAGAAGGGTAGCTGGGAACCTCAGACACTGGCCTGAATCCATTCTTATCCATTATTTCCAGGAGGCCATAGACCCAGAGATCAGAAAAGCACATGGCATCTGAGAAGTACCAAGCCAACTACAGGACTGGTACACTATGGCCATGGCAATAGATTGAGAAATCACTCCTCACCACAAACCCGCACAAAAGAAGCAGGCAAGAAGCCCCCTGGGTTGGTGAGCCCCGGTGAAACCACCACCAGCACAGCAACCTAGCACAATTAAATGTTACAGATGAGGCCAACCAGGGCACCGAGCGTCCAAGTGCTTAGCTCCTGCACCTGTCCCTCAACCTCAACCTCCCACAGCAACCAGAGGAAGGAGAACCCCAAGGAAGCCACCAGACACGAGCAGATTTTCCCGACAAGCCATAGAGGTTCCCCCTCCCACAAAGGAAGACAGGGAGCCTCCAGTCAAAGAAGCCCACTCCAGGTCTGCTAGCAGGGACAACGACCCAATGCTGAGTGAAGCCCTTTCACTGTTAAGTCAGACTAGTAGTACCAGAGACTGGGGTGCAGGGGGAAGTAGAAGCAGTAATAGACACAGGCTGCATCAGGTGCCTAATCGGGTTCTCCATTGTTGAGCAGTTAGGAATAAAGACAAATTCCCTGGTCCGGCCAATCTGCTTTGAGCAAGTAGATGGGACACTGATAGGCGGAACCCCTGCTACCCTAGTCACTGAGTCTGTTAGGATGGAGATGGGGCAACACCAACATACGATTCATGGTAGCCCAAAAAATGACAGAGTCTGTGATATTGGGGCTAGCCTGGCTGGACAGGTGGGCCCAAATGTTCAAATGGGAAAATGGCTACAGAAAAATTAGAATAGCCTTTGGCCCCTTGCCGCCAATCCCTCTGGAAAGCTGCCAACCACTGACTGGCCCCAAGCCACTGGAGATAGCAGCAACTGCCACTGAGATGCTGCCCAAAGAATACAAAGACCTGGCCGCTGTCTTTAGCGAAGAGGACAGCAATGTTCTCCCCACCACCACCACCCAACTGACTGCAATTGAAACTGAATCAGGAGCTAAGCTATCAAAGCCTAAAATTACACTAGTCTGGATGGTTATTTTTTGCAAGGACACCACAGAACAGCAATTTGCTGCAGGTTTGAGGACTGGGAGGCTGTGGATTAGCCTCACAATCGCAGCAGAGACTTCTAAAAAATATTAAGTTCACAAAACCTTACTTTCTAAGTTTCAGAAATTGCTCATTAATTACTTGTAGACTACTGGAGATTATTGGACTGACAAGCTTGAAAACACTCGAGTACCTTCAATTCTGAGTGAAGAACACTTTAATCATAAGGTTAAGAATTTAAAGAATCTGAAATAAACAACAAAATACTAAATACAATTTTGATCTTAGAAAATTGTAAACAGATTAAAGGTCCAAATAAAATTGGAATATTGAAACTTTTACAATAGGTTTTTGGAATGAATTATAAAAAATAAACAGCTTTTTCTGGAAAACAGATTCTGTTTTGCTTTCCACAAGACAAAATAAACATAAGCAATTTCATTTTAAAAATTGGACACTCAAAGAGACTAAAGTTTTTAAGTACAGATTTGCTAACCTGTAAAGTAAAAATTCTAACAGTGAAAATACTGAAGAAAATTAAAAATAGAAAATAGTAGCCACAATATCAAATATGTCAGTAAAGATATTTGCATCTATTGATAGACTATACCCAAAACTTTTACTGAAAAAATGACAGATATAAAACAAATTTTAGCAGAGATGGTATTTACAACTCACTGGCTAAGAGAATGGTTTAGAAGAGGATGTTTCACTGAATCTACAAAAGAAATTGGTTGAGAATTTAAAATTTAAAGCAGTTCGAGTCTCACCAACTCAAGGTTGACTCAGCCTTCCATCCTTCTGAGGTTGCTAAAATGAGGACCCAGATTGTTGGGGGCAATATGTTGACTCTGTAAACCACTTAGAGGGCTGTAAAGCACTGTGAAGTGGTATATAAGCGTAAGTACTAAAAGCAAATGACAAGCCAAGACAAACCTTGATAATTTTTTTCCTACTGGATTTACAAAAAAGGCTTGTTAAAGTCTTGAAAAATTCTATCTGATGGGACAAAAAGGAAATGAAGAGAAATTGAATCCTACAATATTTGAGTGAATTAAAGATTAAGACTGTTAGAAGTGAAAGTAAGATATATAAAGTTGATTGATTTGATCAAGATTAAAACAAAATATGACATCTCAGGCAACTCTTTACAGACCTGCTGACATTAGGGTTGAATAGATGGAAGTTTTATGGATTTATTTATAGATAAGAGATGGAATATGGGATAAAAGTTATAAGATAGGGAAGGCGGAGCTGGCGTCGTGACGGTACGGCGTGCGATCTTGAAGATCTGAGATCACCACCGTTGCTGGACTGTTCAAATGGACCTAAACCACCCCAAAGAGATGGTGAATGTAAAGAGTGCATCCTGTCGATCTCAGGGACATCGCAAAGTCCCTGGTAGATCCAGGAGAAGCTCCTTTTGCCAGCGGCAAAGAGGCAGCCATTAAAGCTGAAGTTGGGATAGCTCCAAAACGGAAGAGAATGGAAAGAGAAAGTGTGCCGGTT